CCCGCATCCCCAATCTGCCAGCCCAGTCCCAAATCTGCACCCTGAGTCCCCGGCAGCCACCGCCACACCAGCCACCCAGGAGGACAGGGTTGGGGAGCGGCCGGGCCGCGTAGGGGCCCGCTGAGCGTGGAAGCGCGGGGCGCGACCCTGGCTCCAGCCCGCCCGCGGAGGCGGGAGGTGGGTGTTCCCGTCCCGGCCGGCCTCCCCGCCCAGGATCGCGGCTGTGGACCGGCCGGCGGCGGGCGCGGAGGGCGGGAGCCCGGGCCACCTTGGCCGCCGGGGAGGGAGGAGGGCGCTGGGCGCGGGGGCCAGAGAGCCAGCGCGGGAGACCGGTTTGTTTTCGCTTTACTGGCTCACATTGAAAAAAAAATTTTTTTTTTCTTTCCACAATCCAAGAAATAAAGACCCCGAATCTCATCCGGGCTGCGATCGGACCCGCATTCGCGCGGCTGGCGTGGACCCTGCGGGTGCGGTGGCGGCACCCCCGGCCCCCGAGGTGCGAGGTGGAGAATCGCGGCGGCGGGCGAGAGCCTGGTGTCGGGCCGCCAAGCTCGGACTGTGCGGGGGTCCCTGCCAGGCCCGCCGGGGCCGGAGCAGCGCTGAGCGGGAGAGGGAGTGGCCGGCGCGGGAGCTGGCTGGGGAACTTGGGGTGGGGAAGTCAATTTTCCTTTTAATGGCATTTACCTCCGTCCTAGCCTCTCCCACATTTGCTGGCCAGGGCGACCTCTGCTAAGCGTCAGGAGCCTGACAAAGTAAAATGACTCGCCAGCTCCCGGGGCGCTGGGAGCCGGATAGCCAACTGGAACTGCTGACCCATTCTGTCCTGGCCCTCCCGGCCACTTTCAGGGGTTCAAGATTTCTCTTTGCTTGCCCCTGGATTATACTATGTTACTAGACGACCTTTCAATTGTTCTTTAAAGAAAGAGACCCCCAGATGCTTGTTAAACCCAGGCGAAACCCGTTTAGTAAAATCACCACGGGGAGCTCTCCTGGCTGAGGCTAAGCTGGAGGAGGCCGAGGCCCCGGGGTTCACAGCCCCAGGGCCCAGTTCACCTGCCCGCTGGGAAGCCACTGCCCAAGCTGAGATACCATGCCCAAACCAAACAGCAAGTTCAATTTGGGCAACGGCGGGACTTCATCCTTTCATTTTAGCTTCTTCAGCTCTGGCTTGATGGAGTCGTGTGTAAGTATAATTGATTCATAACTCGGGTTCATGGGCTTGCCTTGTCCAGTATTCCACCCAAGTTGATGGAATCAAATAGGAACTCACACCTAGAGCCCGTGTGTGTGTGTGTGTGTGTGTGTGTGTGTGTGTGTGTGAGTGTGTGTGTGTGTGTGTGTGTGTGTGTGTGTGTGGCCTGCGAAGTGCCAGTGGTAATTGTCCCTGGTAGACACAAGGAGGGCTTGCATGTGTATTGGTGACACGTGTGTATGTCTCGCCTGAATTGTGGGCACTTCTGCTGACCTCGTGTGGATATGCACAGACTGTATACTTCTTTGTGTGCATATGCACGTGTGTGACCATCACTGAGACACTTCTGAGCCCACATCAAAAGGAGCCAGTAACTTTGTCCAAAACAGCCCCTTAAAACATCCTCCTAAGCCTCTCTGGCCTTGAGCTCCCAAGATCTCATAGGCAAAAAGAATGTATTTTCTACTCCAAAGAAGGGAGTTTTTAAAAGGATAATTCTGCTTGAGGTCTTCTCTCTGACTCCTCCTCGAAGAAAACCCCAAAGTGACCACAGTGGAAAGGGAAGGGGAGAAGGGACAGGAGGGGACTGGGGGGAAAGGCAGCCACTCCCAGGTACCAGTAAATTATTCATGGGTGTTTAATTATTCATGTTATTATTAATAATAATAGTCAACATATAAATGAAGGCAGTCCCTAGGTAGGATGTGAGTGGGGGAATGGGGTCGTTAAGGAGAGGGGGCATTTATTATTTCAGATTCCTACAAAACCTTCCCACACAGTGACTCCACACAGTCAGCTCTCCCCAAGAGGACACCTCTGCTTCCTGCAGCGTGGTCCCTCTCTATGTTTACCCACATGTGGATCCAGAGATGCCCAGAGAACTCCTGGGTTCTTCCTGGGGTGAAGAGCCCCCTCACTCTGTGCAGTTTCCCACCTGATGATGGCTTGTTTGACATTTGGGTGCTCTCTGCTTAGGGAGGTAGTGGGTCCCTCACTGCTCAGCTCTCTGGTAGATGTCTTGTGAGAGGACACTCCTCCCCAACTTGGCTGGGGCAGCAGCAGCCAGGACACAAGGCCCTGTCATAACTGAGCTACCCTGTGTAAACAGCAGCAGAAGCAGCCAGGCCAAGGCACTAATTCTTAAAGGCACAGACCTGCCTCTCCCAGCCGCCTACCTCTTGGCAATTGCCGGAGTATTGGGGATAAAATAACACAGATAGGTGTCTGAAACGAATGCCATTCAGGGCAGGACCCCTGAGAAAAGGCTCCGGAGCACAGTAGGTTGGCTTTTTGGTGTTCTTGCCCTTGATATGCTAGGAAGGCTCGAGTTGAAAAAATTTTTTTTTTTCATTTTCGATCATCAAAGGCAAATGTAATTAGGAAGAGATGGGGGCAAAGTATTACTCACTGTGACATTTAAACAGATTTAAACTTTTTCTCCAAGTGCCACTTCATGGCCACAATTTTTCCATCTACAAAGAAGGGAAAGGCCAGCGAACAGGAGAGGGAGCCGGGCACTGTTGCTTCTCATCTTTCCTCTGGATTTGGGGTGACATTCTGCAGTGGATTTACCCTGGGGGCATCACTCCATGTGTGAAGAGCTGGGCTCAGGGGTTGAGGGCCCCAGGCCTTGCCAATACTGCTTGCTCCCTATTTTCTTCGCTTCTTCCTTTCTAGGATGAAGCCCTTAAAGTCCATCGTTCTTTGCGGCACCCACTAAGCCTCTCACCCTCAAACCTGCTCTGGCCCTCCTGCCTTTGAATTTTCTCTCTCCACCTATTTGGGAACTTGAGGGTAGAGACCCCATTATTTGACTCTTTCTCTCCTTCTACCCTTCTCACACACATAGATCAACACACGAGTTGCTCAGTTTATAGATGCCAGTGACTGGAGGGTGAGAGAGAAAACCAGCCAACTCTGAATTGACTAATCTGGGCTCCATGGACAGTTCTCAAGGCAGACACTAGTCCAGAAGTGCACCTGAACTGGGAGTGAGACCTTGGCCTGGGACACATACAGCTATTCTCACATCCACCCAGCTTTTCTAATCTATTGACTCAGCAGAGAAAGGGCAAGGGAACCCACTGTCTAGGTAGGGAGGCCAGTCGTCATGATGGAGAGGCCCCAGAACAACAGAAGGCAATATACGGTTAAATGTCTCCTAGCTCCACGTGATGAAATCAGAAGGCTCCATGGTGGAGGTGGTGATCAGCAGTAGCCTTGAGGAGAGAGGAGGAAATGTGCAGGAGGCTGCAGAGGGCGTTAGATTGTTCGAGAGCTGGGTGGTGACCTGGACTCCAGATGATGAGGGAGAGAAGCAGCTGGTTCTCCATGGTTATGTACAGACAAAGGTGAAAACGGAGCTGCAGTCTGCATGAAGCTTCCATTATAGAGAGTAGACCTCAGAGGGACTACTTTATCCAGGCCTGCAGAGGGCCCTGAAGGGAGGTGGGGTGGGAACACACTTGCGCCCTGTAGCCAGTCCTGTGCTGATAAAGCACAGGGGACTGACAAAGAGCCCACTTGTCACAGAGGGCCTGCCTCACATGAAGGGTGGGGTGAAAGGTGCCAGCCGTGTGTTCTCTGAGCCCTGAAGAAGATGGGGCTCCTGTGGGTGGTGAAAGAGCCTGGATCTGGGGGAGAAATGAGTCATTGTGGGAGGAGAGGGGAGCCTTTCAGGTTGAGGCAGTGGTTGCAGATGCCAGGCTGGCAGTGAGCAGTCCATTCCTCTGGGATTGGCTGTGATGGTGATTAAAAGGCAGCTCCTAGCCTGGACTCCTATGGGAGAGAGATGATTGGGCAAGATAGGACCTTAA